ACTTGGTTTCTCAAAATCTTAGATATCTAACTCTTCCACACCATGCTTGGAAAGTCTGTGTGCAGCAGGGCATCTGAAATTACGGGTGCTGCACTCATGCACCTTGTGAACGTACCTCTGACATCACAGACCTATTTTGCACGAGTCATGATGCCATGTAACTAATCTGTTCGCATTCAGAAGATAATCTACACCAGTCGGCAAGTTTTTTTGAAGCATCAGCAGTTTAAGTGAAGTTTAATAGAAGATCTATTACATAAGCTTTTAGCAGATTTTTTTTTGCGTGTGGCTATGATTAAACCAGTCTAGAACATGTCTAGCTAGAAAAATATCTGAAGTAGATAATAAACTGCTGATTTTCTACTGGTTGTCAGGGCAGCATATGAACTGTTCAGTGATAAACCTATAAAAAGGGTTTATGGATTTTTTTATTCAAATAGACATGCTAGACAATAAATGCATAGCACAGATTAATACATCAAAAGGATCCACAAGTAAATGTTCCAGCTTTCTCTTCCCTTCCTTCTTCCCCAGGCATTAAACAAGAACACATACTAAACAGTAAAAGAACCACCCTGAATTACCTGCTTATTAAAGTGTTCAGACTTCACAATATCAAGAAATTACAAACAGTCCAGAATTGCTACTGTGCAATTAATTTATCTTCACTTTTAAAAGGTAAGGGCAGTAGATTTTAAAAACAACTGACCTTTCCATATTTCGGCATGGAAGATTTCCAGATATATGCTAGGACATTTAGATGAAATGTTTTGTCTCATCACCATTTCTTGAAGAGCAGCTTGTAAGAATGGCAGTTCTTTTCCATTGCTCAACCGTCTTGAATTTATTATTTGAAGTCTCTGTTTTACAGAGAAACCACCTGGCAGTTCTTCAGAAGGTACTTTGCTAACAAAATACCCTGATTAGAGATGAGATATAAACTCCAGCTCTTGGTCCAGTCACCTAAGTTTGAGCAACAAATTAAAATAAATCATTCTGATACTACCTTGTAGGAGACTGAGGTCCCATAATGGTTAATCTGGTTTCAGCCATACTCCTGATTTATTTCCAGAAAAGCAAAGCAAAAACAGTCAAAGAAAGAGAAAAGACAACAGAGTGGCAAAACAGATTAAACAGGAGTTGCAATCCACCTTTTTCTGCTAGTGTTTGATTCTTCACAGACATATTTTTATGACAGGCAACTGTACTTTACATATGGATTAATGCTATAATCTTTTTCTTCTTTTTTTTTTTTTTTCCAGATAACTAAGTTTGTAATTCTTCCACAAGTAGGGAATACGTATACAGCTTATATTGTCTTAAACAAATTTACAATATTTGACCACAAAACCTCACTGTTAAAACTGCTGCTTCAGTTTAATATTATACATTCTATCAGGACATTATTTTAAAAGTTAAAGTTGTTGCAAGCGGTTTTTGTAATCTTTTTCCCTCACTGGATCCCTTGCTAGTTCACACACACATTATTTAACACAATCTGATTTCTCATCAGGTTGCACTGTCAAGTTCTGACTGAAGAACATTGGTGCTCCGTTCTGATTTAGCTGATTTTCAATACATTCCTCTAGATCCTTATTTATAAACCTTTAACTTGCAGGAAAATATTAAACCATCATAGTTTACATTGATAAACAAGATTATTACATTGTTTAGCAGTAGGAGTTTAGAATATCGGTATTTATAATAATGTATAATAATAACAGAAGTGTGGAGATTGCATCCCCAACTTAACACAAAAACAAAGGTTGATCCCACCCTCGTTAGCTGGCAGGGGAGGAAGCTGTGCCAAATATAAAGCAGATCTTCCATCAGCACACTTCAGACAACAGGGTGCAAAAATGCACTCTCCTCTTTCCTGCCATCAGGGGTACTTTTGTTGATTCTGCTTAACTTCATTTCACCACTGAAACCTGCAAAAATGGTGACACATACCTAACAGAAAAGGCAAACCTTTCTCTTTTCTGCATAGGCACATACTGGAGGCTGTAACTTCCCGGTATTTGTAAACCATGGTAAAACCTTACCCCAAAATAAGGAATGACAACTCATGTCAGCAACATAAAAACTAAATGGTTGTTAGTTATCAGAATGACAGAGTTGTAATGATCACAAGGAGTTGTCTATTTTGTTCTCTTCACATTTTTTAATTAATAAAGGAATACCAATCTAAAATTACCATAGCTCAGAGACAAAAGATGTCAGCACTTCCAGTCCATCCAAGAGCAATACACTGGCTTCAGAATAACATACTTCAAAGGCACGTACTTCAGCACTCTCAAACTTCATCAGACATACCAGTCTATCCAAGGTTAGAGTACAGGAACCTGCAACTTCCACAAATATATGAAGTATAATTTTACTTCCCCCCCCCCCTTTTTTTTTTTAATATATCTGCTTTTTTTTTTTTTCTGAGCAATGGCTTATGGCCTCAGAGCTCAAGTGACTTACGAAGCACACCAGCTGCTTGTAAGAGTAGGCGGACTTGTTTTCTTTCTCAGATTCTGGGGGACCTCTGCTCTCCACTAAGAGAAACAAAATGTTTTATAGCCCAGTTTCTAAAGAATTTAGGTTCTCGATTTCTTTGTTAACAAGCCAAATGCATTATAGGCAATGACAAAAATGTGAGGATCAAAATATATTCCATGTGTCTGCTGCTACTCTGCTCTACATGTGGGATAGGTTATTTGTGTCCTTTGGTTACCAGTCCCAGTGTGAAAACACTCTCAACACCTCAAGGACTTCAATTGCTGCATCAGTGCTAAATTTTTGCTCCTGACACGTAACGATCACTGCTGCTCTAATGTTCTCTGAATTACAAAGCAGAAACAATTGTATTCAATGAAGTGATGGGAATCAGCTTCCTTGAAGCACAGCTAACAATCAAAGAGCAAGGTTCTTTAGGCCATGAGGTATGCTGACGCACCGCTCTCGAAGGAAAGGACAAACTCCCACATTGCAAAACTCTTCAGGAAAGCCACATGAAAACTTGTTCTTAGAATAAGGGAAGTTTAAACTTAGGAAACGCTTATAACAAAAACAGGAAGACAATGCAACTTCTCTAACCAAAAGTGTCCATAAGACAGCTAGCCAGCGCTTCACATTCTCTCTGAAAGAAATAGGGTGAAAATACAAACTTATTTCCACTGTGATGGTCTGTTTCCAGCTGTTCTAAGTGATAGGGGATTCATTTTTCTCACTGATTGGATGACCTATATGGTCTATTTCATTTATGCAGAAAGTGGTAATCAACAACTTGTTTCTTCCATTTTGGGGTTTTAGTTTTTGCTAACGCAACACTGAAACATGAGATTCTTGGGGACAAGGATCAATACTTTCTGAAAAAAACCAGTAAGGGCGGGGGGGGAAGGACACCTGGCTTTCACATACCTCAGACTGAACACCCGGAAGTTAAGACTTTCAGAATCACTTGTTGATTCTGAGCATTCAAGCAAAATAAAAGAATTCATCAATGAGATAGACAAACTATGAACAAGAAATACTTGTATGATCCAAAAATTGCAAGACTAACACATACTGTAATATATGGATCTCCTTCCCTGTGATGAATGCCATTTTATTATTAGAAGTACAGATGCTAAGACTGAACCCAAAAGAGCTTTACTCTGCAGACAAGGGAATGTAACTGCATAAAATTGTTTCAATAAATCAATGCAGGTTCTATCTGCCAGAGAATTAGTGGCAATTTTTTTTTTTTTAAAATCACGTATTTTAGTGGTGCTTTTCGTTACTGAAATTCCTAAGGAATATCTCTGTTGCCATATCAAACTCTGCAGTAGTTACTTTGATTAGGTGAAGTTTGCCTTAGGAAAGGTTTTCTGGGGTACCTCTACTGGACAGCTATAATAAACAGTTCAGCGTAAGAATATATCAGCAAAAAGATGTATACTGAACTGCTGGTCAAATAAGCTCATCTTATAAATCACCTTTAAACTATGTAAGTGACACTAGAGAAATGTCATTAAACATACTCACAGCCCTGACATTACTGTATGAGCAAACTATATAAGGTCTACCTGACCTAAGAAAGCACCTGTGACTCAGCTAGTAATGAATGAATCACAAAGTTTAGAAATTAACTTGAGGAAAAAAAAAAGAAAAAACCCAACATCATCATCCTCCCCAAGTGGAAGATACCAAGGGAATGTAAAAATTACTTAAATCTCATCTAAATAGCAATATGACAATTAACTGACAAAATGTTCTGTTAATTTTTTTGTAATGCATTAGAGAAATATCTGGAAGGTATTAATAAAAGAGTAGAAAATTGTTTGTAATCATATCTTTAACACTTGTTTTTTCCCACTCTACACCAAGAGAAGTCACTTCAGAATGTTTACTAATATTCAATACTAGTTGTAACAGTCCGATTTCAAAACCCCCATATTCTTTGTTGAAATAATTGTTTCCTTTAATTATACAACACAACACTTAACCCTCAGCTTTTCAACAGGCTCCTAGAGTCCCGACACTCACCGTACAATCCTCAAAGAAATTTTGAAGTAATTTCTTTACATTTTTTAGTTCATCGCCCACGTTCAGTCTTTCTTATGTCACCAGGCAGGCCCTATCTAGCATGACCAACAACTGCATAGGCAGGACCAGGCTCTCCAAGGCCATGTATCACTGGGCCACACGCTTTTTTTTAGGTATAAAAAAGAATCTAAAACTTTGTAAGTGACCCTGTCTACAAATGACTCCAGTCTTACCCTCAATACAACAAACTAGGGAATTCAATTACAAATACAAGACAGGTGTTCGAGTTCAAACCCAGGAATGGAGAAGATAAGTAATCCACGTTTTAAATTAGTCAGTCATCGTTGGGTGGGAGGGGGTGGGATGGGGAAATGGTTCCAGATGTTACAATGTCCTCAACGCAAGGAGCTGAAATGTGTAAGAATACCGAAAATTTGTGTTTAAGCTCTACTTCACAACAGCAGAAGAAATCACAGAACAAGATGAAAATATATCTATAGCTTTACTGAATTCTCTTTTGAATACAAAATGTCTGTTGTACTGGATAAGGCAACAGTGTCCATGTTTTCTTTGTATAAATAAGTGCAAAATAATCTTTTATAGTTTAAAAAATAAATTAGTGTTCTGTTCTTTTCTTGTTGTCCTTCCTTATCTTTTTGCTCTTCCCTGCTTGTTTAGATGATTCTTCCTGAAATGAAAAACAAGCATTTCAAAATTTATTCAACATTCTTATGTACTGTGAGCATTCTCCCAAGGTCACCCATGAGAATTATTTTTAATATGAACAGTGTTCATAGTTCACTGGAATTTTTGAGTTATATAACATTTAACCACTCAGATTCATTAATTTGTCTGCTCATGCCAACAGAAGTATATAAAGTGAAAATAATCTAAGCCATTTCCACTCAGGGAAGAGGTTCCCAGCATAGGAATACATCTACACTATACTGCAAAACTGCTTCTAGTGTGGATGTGGCCTTATCAAGAGATATACTGTACACCAGTACATTAAAACCACTTCCCTAAGTGAAAGAAACCTACACTGGGAAAAACAAAATTTTGCCAGTCTTGCTGGATCAACATTGTAATGTACAGCTTACTCTGCCAATTCTGAAACACAAGATTTTTCTTCAGTAGGCATTCATCGCAAGCACTCCCCAAACAATGAAGGAATCTGCCACTATATCTGATGGAACCTGGGACACTTTAATCTTCTCCCTTCTACCTCTTGCACATGGGACAGAAACAGACCCTAAGAGGATGTTTGAATTCTGCTATTCTGAAGAGAGTTAGCTAAAAGAATACTTTTTTCCAAGAGTTACATCTATGGTACTAGAATAATAATTACCATAAATTCCATCTGTTATTTTTCTGATGGACACTGGTAACAAAATATGTTTGTTAATACACAATAAAGAAATACAGTCTGATGTAAGTTGTTAAAAATAGAAAAAAAAAAAAAAGAAGTCATTTCTGGTACTAAACCTTCTCTTGAGGGTTAATGCTTTAAAGCCTTGTTAGTTTCCTTTTATTTTACAAGCAATGCTTTCAAATAAGAGAACACTGATAAACTGCCAAGAAGGTAAATCAGTAAGTATATAAAAGCACCTCTAAAATGCAAAAAGCAAATAACTGAAAAGTGCAGGGGGAAGAATGCTCAGCTTTCAGCCACAGCAATCTTAGATACTTTTGTACATAAAGGCAAACTGACAGTTGCATATTTTTTCAAGTGTCCATTAGTAATTATTTCCTACTGTCTTAAACTTTCTATTGTTAGCAATTACATACTATAATGTACATAGACATATCTAATACGCTGTTCTAAGGACGAAGAAAAGAAATGTTGAAAACCAAGAATATGAGATGATTCAATGACCGAAGACCCTTCAGAAGTAAAATGCCATTTAAAGACATCTGGAACTTTGTCTCCTGAGTTATTTAAGCTCCCTTGAAACATTTTCCCTTAATCTTTTCTGTAACAGTTAATGTTACTTTGAATTCTTCTAGTCCAGATTTTTTTTAAATGGTGTCTATCATCTAGAATTCTGAAAATTTCTTTGGGTCTAATAAAGCTTTCAATTTTTAAAATGCCTACTAGATACGGTGATTTCCAAGCTCAGTCTGCCACACACTGGAACTGGTAGCACAGGTAAGCATGAGAAGCAGCAGCTTCTAGTTTTCTGAACACACAGAAAGAGGCATTTCCCCTTCCCATCCTCCCCCAGCCCTCAAATTTGTGTTCTGGATCAACAGCTGCCACCCTTCTATTGCATACCTCACACTTCCAAAGAAGTTAGTGACCTGGTTTGTAAGTTCTTCAGGAGTCTTTGCGCTGATCCTATGCATACTATCAGTGCATCAAAGCAATCAGAGGATGACACAGCTAATATAACTTTTCTTCTGGCATCATCTAACAGTGACAATTTACACAAGTTCACATACAAATGCCTTCATTCTAAGTGGCAGAAACTTACCACTGAATGTACATAGTTGTATTCCACAAGTACATTTCTTGCACAATTGTTTATATGTTTAAAACGATCTGGTCCTAAGAGAATACCTCCATACCAGCGGGATACCACGACTAACACATTGTGGACATTCAAAATCTGTTTAAAAAAAAAGAAAAAAGAAAGAAAGAAAGTTATGTTTTACTTGAACTAGTTTTACTGTTGACACCTATTTTAAACACAGAAAAAGCCTACTATCTTGCATTTTTAAGAACTTACAGTCAGGTCTGTGTCACACATACGTTGTTATCAGAGGGTAACAAATAATAAGAAGTCAGCAGTTGTGGTAAGTTTCCCTCTGCAAGCTCCTACCCAAAGGTAAATTCAAAGTAAAATGAGTCAATATATCCCTCAGAAAGGGCACAAAGCTATCTCATGTGCACTACAGTTGCTCATTCATGTGTCAAAGGCTTTAAGCATTACTTAAAGGGAAAATTACTGAGTTACATTTATTATTCTTTGATATGATGAATTATTATTTCCAGAGAACATCTGTCATTAAGCAGATTGTCTATCTACATTTTTGGAAGTGTTGGTGGATGAGGCTAATAACAGACAGGGGACAGGCATACATATGAATACCTAAAATGCCATAAGCTAGCACTGTTGCCATGGGCAGGACTTAGCAACAGCACCTGGATAATACATAAAAACCTCTGCATCTTCCAGGCTTCAGTCTTAGTCCCTTACAACCAAGCAGTTGCTTTCTAAATTCAAAAAGGCATATATAAAGTTCACACAATATGAAATAATTGTATTAGCAATTAGGATTGAAAGGAACTAAACAACCTTTATATAGCTTTTTTAAGACTGTAAGTAACAAAATCAAGTAGAGAGTTAAACAGAAGTGACGGTTTCTTTTACTGCAATTAAAGGCAAGAAACATGGAAGGCCTTCAACAGCTTTACTTTTCACAAAATCTAAATGTGACTTGACTAGACTTGAAAACTAGCATTTATTCTGCCTTACAGCAATTCTGTGCTCAAGATCTCCCCATCATCAGAAAACACTAGTAACACAGGCAATGCCAATTGACTAAGTATCAGAAAGAAACACACATCTTCTCAAAATGTAAGATAGACATTACTGCATGGAAACGTGTGGTGACAATCACCAGTTAGCATTTTTGTTCAAGTTACTCTTGCATGATTAGTGACCATGATCCTGAATTTGTCCCTCAAACTAAGGCATCTGAAATCTCTGTGGAAGGTCTTAACTTATAAACAGCTTTCTCTCAAGTCCTGTGCAGTACTACCCTAATGCATACCGATGGCTTGGAGCCAGACAGAGCAAACACAGCTTTATTTGCACAAGACTGAGTGAAAACACTGTGGCCTACAAGGTACCGGGGTGGTTTGGTGGAGGCGAGAAAAATCCCTTAAGAGCTGGCTATCAATAAAACACGTTAACAACCACTCATCATCTCCATTAAGGAGGAAAAGCATGTATCTTTGACTAATTTGAATAATACTATTAGAAGATTCTATCATTGTTTGTGAAAACAGAAATATTCTTAGAATTTTAAGATGAAAAGGATAATGTAAAAAAAAAAAAAAGAAATAAGGACTGGGGCAGGTTTTGTGACAGGCATTTTCTACTCTACATGTCTACATTTACATATCGGCCATAAAGTCTATGTATAGCAACTGTTCACAGTAAACAGGATGCCAAACACAGTTGGGAAATTTTTTAACTCTAAGTTCAAAAGAGTTAATCTAAAATACAGTTTCTTGTAACCGGAAAGTGCTATCTTGGCTGAAGTGCTAGGTTTATCTGAATTGAGATAAGATTCCTATTGCAAAAGAACTATAAGTACAACAACAATAAGTGTTTTAAACCACCTAATTTCCATGGTCATATAATACGACATAAGTGCTTATAACAGAAAAACTACAAGACCTATGAACATCTAGAAAGCAGCCCATAAACTTTTAATCTTTTCCTATGGGTGAAAAATGCACTTTTTTCTGATCCCTACAGCAGTGCTCTTCCAAAACAAAAATATTTCCAGTAACTAGGACGACAGATGGAGAGAGATGTTCCACATAATTTAGACACACTCACATTTGGAAGGGGAAACTTCATATCACTTTCTAAACTGGATTCTTAAGGAATGTTAAGCGGCTAGACACTGTAAGTCTGACAACTTTCAAAAGTATACATTAATGTGCTGAGAAAAAGCAGATAAGCTCAGAACAAACTGAGGTACACTAATTGCAAAGTTGTTTCTTTACACTATTTTTATTACAGTAATGTTTTCACACTTACCACATATACTTGCATACATTACATAAAGTAAGTTTTCCTTCCCAAGTCAGGTTTGAGTTACTTAGGAAGTTTCAGAAAGTTCTAAATGAAAAATGTCAAAATATTCTAAAATTTTATATTTTTTCAGAAAAAAAAGAAAGCTTTGAAATTTAAAAAAAAAAAAAAAAAGGCTTCAAAACAGTCTCCAGGAATGAGAGTATAACACATTAAGCAACAGAGTATGCAAGTGAGCAAAGGACAGGAAAAGAAAACCCTTGTTGTGAACGGGCTATCAATCTAAAAGTCACAATTAAAAACAGTAATTAGTGTGCTGATACAGCTAAGTGACTTGAAGCACGGCAGAAGATGTACCCAGCTGTTCCCTGTAGTTATGATATTTTATTTATGGTTTTACGAGGGCTTGCATCACGCCAGTGAATCAAAATTTATCAATCTCAATTCACATTTAGTGGCAACTTTGCCGAGGGAATATTATTTCAACACTTGAAAACTAAAATATATTTAAGTATGAGGGCTAAGGACCCGGAACTGGAAACAGCACAAAGAAACAGATTAAATGATCAAAACAATTTAACTCCTTTGCTCCCACTACCTTTCGCATTTGAAGCTCTACTCTGCAAGTTCAAATATAAGTGTCTTTTTATTATGAATATTTGAGGAAACTGAATGAAAGGCTGAGCATAGGTCAGCTGTTACATTCTGTCAATCAGCTTCTTCCAGTCTTCATTTTCTGTATACCTTACACCACACAGTAAGCAGAGGAATCAAAACTTATTTCTCTTTTAAACCGTTCAAACTACTACTACCATCTATGAAACACTACTTGTTTCTATGATCCAAGACTTGGAAATCCCAATTTAGTACATGCATGCAACAGTTTGTGTTTTTTCTTTTACCTTTAAGAAAGTAATCATCTATTTGGCTAAGAGCAGAGCAAGAATTAGAATCATCTTCTACAAGTTGATTTACATTGCAGTGATTTTTAAAATCTGTTCAAGACTTCCAGAAGTCAAAGATTAATTTCTATAACCTGCATAAGATGAAGAAGACGTCCACCTGCTGCTGTCTCCCCATCATCTTCACAATCCTGTAAGAATGTCTGTTTATCTTCACAGTATATTCTTAAAAAGAAAAAAATGAAAAAAATTAACATAAACTAGATTAAAAAAATGTCAATCAACTAACTTTTTGACATGATTAACGAAGTCTCAGGGATCTTTCATACACGTGTATCAATTCTACCTTTCTACTAAAGACATTTACATGAAAACAGGATGAGGCTTAGGGTAAACCACAAATATTTATCTGTACAGTAGAACAAGTTTTGAGAAGCTTTTATGTAGACTTTAGCTACTTCAGGTTAACTCCAGACTCATTACCAGTATAAAGTCCTTAATAAGAAAAATCCATAGCTTTTAGCCTAATAATTATGCCTAGCTGAAACCAAGTCTATCAGTTCAAATTATGATACACACCCACAAGTTGGAAGAAGTCAGACAAAAATATTATGAATAATTAGTTAGGTCTATATTTCAGCAGCAGTGTGAAACTATTAACTGAAATCCACCTTCAGATTCTCCATGCCATCTCCTTCCTCAGGGGGCACTCCAGGAAACTTTGGGGTGTATTGTTTCTTACAAAGGTCTAATTTTCCAGAAGTAATGCTCAGAGGTCTACTGTTTGTTACCAATTGATTTCATAACTTCTGAACTTAGTTAATACACACGTGACATAATGACAAAGAGCCTCGTGGTACTAGAAGACAAATATGAAGCAATAGGTACGTTTCTGTTGCTTTTTTGAAGTGTATTTAGATCATATGAATGAAAGAAGCCAGATCATCATCAGCAACAACAGAAATCCCCTCTTTACCGAAACCTTTTACTTAGGTAGACTTTTTGGTAAAGTAAGCTTTCATTTGCTCTCATTTTATGTTTCATTAGGATCACACCAGGATGTACATGAACGGATCAGTGTCCATACATGCTTTTTCAGGTAACCAGTTCCTTCCAGTAATGAAAGGAGCTCCTTTTACTATCACTTATATTGCTCAGAAAATCTACATCGCTATCTGGACCGAGCCCAATTCATTTCACATAAGCTATGTTCACAAAAGTTGCCAGAAACAGACCATTAATAAACTCCTTTTTACCCGTTTCTCATTTTCCCTGAAGTTTCTCATATTTCAGCTGTAATTTCATATGCCAGATGTCTGCATCAGGCTTTCTGTTTCAGCTCTTATTTAAACTAAAAATTTTCAGCTATTTCTAAATATAAAGTTGGGGGGAAAAAAAAAGTTACTTTGCCCAAGTAAAAACACATTTAGTTCAGGATGATGTAGCATGTCCATGCTCAAACACATACTACACAGAGTATAACAACACATGTTCAAATCCACTTTTAGTCTTTTTTTTATTTCTAATTTTGCTTTACTGTCTTAATATATTTCCTACTATACGTTCTACTTCCTTGACCTCAAGTTGAAAATGAAGCCTAAATCCTTTACCATACAAACAAGAAACCTACTCCCATAAAGACTTAATAGCAAGGAATTTCTTTGATCGATTTTACTTTTCTCATGTCCTGCACTCATTTGTCAAACAACACTGGGGGGGGGAAGTCACTACTCATCTCTCACCTGTATGCATATATGTTGTGGGTAGCACTTGCAATTTTCTTATTCTCATACAATTTTTCAAGAACTCTCTTTACCTTTAAAAAAACAGAAATAAGCTTCCTTTTATAATGGGGATTTCATACACACCATCTCAATATTGCTGCTAAACAAACATCTCCTTCTTAATACTATAATGAAACAGTTTTACACTTTGACATAAAATGAATTAAACATGCAGTGCGATAACTCAAGAAGCAGCTTTTCAGTACCCTCATGCTAGTTTCAAATAATTTTTTCTGGGATACTGAAAACAGCTGTTCCTTGAATTTGTACATTATGTATATTCACATTATTGCTGAAGATGTAGAAGTGTCAAATTGCTTTACTAAACAAGAGAGACAGTAAGATCTAGAAAACATTTTTAATCAGTGTGAAGTATTAATTACACCTGCTTACTTTTTTAAACTATAACATTAAGCATATAACACAACTTGACATGTTTTCCCATTACACACTGCTTTTACCTGTTTCACAAAAACATGTGATGTTTAGAAAGCTCTACTACACTTCATTTTCAGTTTTTCCTTTTTCCTCAAACATACTTTTTTTCAGAGTTTCCATTTCACAGAAAGAATAATAATTAAAAAAATGTCCTATTGTGGGTCTGAAAGTGTCAGCATTTCCCAGAAAACACATACTCCCACCATTTCCATCTGCTCTTAAGAAGCACCGAGTTCAAAATGTTTATCAATATCAGTTCATTTTCTGTTTCTAATTAAACAAGCTAGTAGCTGTTCAACACTTTCCAGTTTGGTCTAGCAAAAAGGAGAGCTTTGATCAAGACACTGCTTTAGTACATAATACAAAATTAGTATTACTTTGAGCAAAACATTACTGAAGTTGAAAAAGCTTGGGAAAACATGCTTAGCAAGTAAATTGCCTTCCACGCCAAAGAAAAGTGTGTCTGAGGAGTAATCAATATTTAATATCTGTCTTAGCTATAGCGTGCTATTTCCAATTCTTCTGGAAGAAATTCAGCTTACAAAAGTCACCTCAAAAATAAGATACCTCAATGAAAAAGCTCCTATTATTAATGCTTCAGACACCTTTTTCTCCCTTTTTTTCCTCCCTAAAGGGGAATATTGAAGAAAGACAACTTCTGTTACTTAATACACTTTCATAAATACATTTCAATACACAGACTTAGGATACAAAGCATATGAAATGATCATCACCTTTGACATTAGTTATTTGTCAGCTACCAGGCTCCTAAAACATACCTTAAAGATTCATTATGTGTCTGTATTAGCAATAAACCTCCAAGACAGACATCTTACAGCTGAGAATACTTTATCCTTTTTCCTGTTGTAGCTCCTTGAGCCTTTTTTTTCTCTTGTTCCCCTCTCTATTATTCCTGCTTTAGGGAATTAAGGGATGTAATTCTCTACATGTCAAGGAGGCATCTGCTCATAAAAGACACAAGATGCTTAAACAACAGATCAGTTCTTAGTCCCACCTTACTAAATCAATGTCAAGTCCAAGAACCCCATATATTTTAAATGTCAGAATAAGCCACATTGAGACAAGGAAAAGCAATGGTACTAAATATAGCCTGCTACCTGAAATATGCCTATCACTTTCTTTGCCTCATAAGGTTTATGGTAACATGTTCTGTTATGTAAGTAACTACAGTATTACTCTGGCTATCATCATTGAAAACTACATTAGAAGTTAAGTTCCACTATTAAAAACACTCAATAAAGGAATTTACACAGCAATATGTGTACTCTCCTAAAATACTGATGAATATCATTGCAGCATATATAGAATCATAGAATCATAGAATCGTTTAGGTTGGAAAAGACCTTTAAGATCATCCAGTCCAACCATTAACCTACACTACCAAGTCTACTCTAAGCCAATCAAGGGTAGACTAGACTAAACCATGTCCCGAAGTGCCACATCTACCCGTTTTTTGAACACAAACATATTATGCAGATAAAGTAGTATGGGTACACACTAATCTCTTCAGCTGGTAAAGAAGCTAGCTTTCACTACAGGTGCAATGTTTACCCCATTCCTCACCTCCTTTGGCCTTCTTCAAGAAAAATTAGTCCAATCACTGTAAAGCTTCCCTGCAGTCTGAAGACCAATCACCTCACACTGTACAGCAAGACTCTGTGAAACAAGATGGACTGGACACTTGGGGAATTGTTCTATCTTTATAGTAACCACATATGAGTAAGTCTTGACTGGAGATTCCTACATTCATTTTTTATTATACAATATATTACATATTTTATATTATACTCATTCATTGAGCATATGTTGTCTTTAAAAAAAAGTCACAAAAGAAGAAACTAAGAATGTCTTTGCATGCAAAAGGGAAATTACTAACCTGCTTTAAGTGAGTACTATTTCTTGACACAGACCTGCCCTTTCGAAAACCCATGTCTGTGGGTACAGACTTCCTCAGAAGTAGGAACAATGTTGCTCATAAATCATGATCAAAAAGCAAGATTTTTTTAAAATGAGAAAAGGACATTAAGCCAATGATTCCAATTTCTTCCCTTTCTAAAGTAACACAGTTCATACGGACTGAGCACAGTTAAAAAAGCCCCTGAAGTGCAGTGCTACTTCAATGAAAATGGTAATGTACTGAGTATTTTAAAACACTGACTTATTCCACATTAACCTAATGAATAAAATTACTTTCACTTTGCAAGCAGTAAAAGAACAGCTCAAAAAAGCTGAAAGTGTGTTCAAAAAAGCTCAAGTTGTATCCAGATAGAGAGAAATAAGATAGACGACAAGACAGATGTGAAAAGCACACCACATTTTTGAAGGTCTAAAAATAAAATTAATTTTTTTCTCAAACACATAAGAAGCTGAGGCTTACCAGAGATCTGCACTGCCAACAGATAAACATAATATATATATAAAAGAATCACTTAAAGAAGATACAGCTGTAGCACAAAAACCTAAATGAATGTACAGTATTTATGAACTTAAAAGGTCAGGCAAGGATGATATAGTGGAGCCTAACCACAGAATAAGGTTGAGCAAGCTGATAAAATCAACAGAAACAAATCAGCAAAACCAGATCATGTTTATTTAAAAGTTTAAAGGGATTGGAGTATGAAGCTGTTGAACTGTAGCTAAGATATCTAACCTACCAGTTAAAACTGTTTCTGCAGTAGGTGGTGACTGATGCAATACCAACATCTCAAAAGTACTCCAGGAAGGATGTAGGGAACTAAAGACCAAGAAGACTTATGTCCATACTAGGCAAACTAATGAGGTGAAATAAAACCAAAAAAACAGACAAGCTTAAAATGTTACATCTTTTGTACAGAGAAATACGCCTCAAAACTCTGCCAATCTGTCAACATTCTTTCAGAATCACTGAGCTAGTTGATCTAGCTTACCTGGAATTTCAAGAAGAATTTTACAAGATCCCTCACCAAAAATTCTTAAAATATAAGCTAGAATTGGATAAAAGGAAAGAGGAAAATCTTCTCAAGGTTTAACTCTCAGTGGATGACAAGAAAAGACAAGTAGATCAGTAGTTTCCACACTAAACAGGGATCTTCAATGGAGATTGATGTTAATAGATGCAAAGTGATGTACAAAGTGACTCCAAACTAGTTATTAGTATTTGCAAAAAGAGATCTTGGGGTTGTAACAGACATTTCTATGACCTCAGTAGAGGTCAGAAAAGTAAACTGAAAGGTATTACTAGGAAAAGAACATGGAAGACAGAAAAACTCTTTACACCACTCTACAAATCCTTGGAGTGACTGCATCTTCAATGTTGTGTATAGTTCTAGTCTGCATCTGAAAGTGACCTGGTTTCGGCTGGGATAGAGTTAATTTTCTTCCTAGTAGTTGGCATAGTGCTGTTTTGGATTTAGTATGAGAATAATGTTGATAAGACACTGATGTTTTAGTTGCTAAGTAGCACTGACACTAGTCAAGGACTTTTTCAGCTTCCCATACTCTACCAGGTGCACAAGGAACTGGGAGGGGGCACAGCCAAGACAGCTGATCCAAACTGACCAAAGGGATATTCCATACCATATGACATCATGCTCAGTATATAAAATGGGGGGGAGTTGGCCAGGAGACTTCAATCACTGCTTGGGAACTGGCTGGGCATCGATCAGCAGGTGGTGAGTAATTGCATTGTGCATCACTTATTTTGTATATTATTATTTTCCCTTCCTTTTCTGTCCTATTAAACTGTCTTTATCTCAACCAACTAAATTTTACTTTTTTTGTTTTTCCCCCCGAATTCTCTCCCCCATCCCACTGGGGTGGGGGAGAGTGAGCAAACAGCTGTGTGGTGTTTAGCTGCCTGCCAGGTTAAACCACAACAAAGAGGTTAGACCATACATTACATGTACAGAACAGCCCACATCTACAAAGCACCAAAACAGTCTGGGGGTTTTCAGCCTGGAAAACGTAAAACTAAGGGCTACAAAATATGACAGATGTCTATAAAGATCCAAACTGCATAGAGAAACCATTGAGGTGCAACAAACAAAGTTACGAATGACTGATTCACAGCGAACACAGGAAGGCTTATTTTCATACAATGTTGTTGATTCTGAAAGTTAATTCTGGTGCAAGAAGCAACTGGACAAATGCCAGAGAGGCTAAAAAAAAAACCAAACCCAAACAGTAATATTACACACAAGCATACTTTCTTTACCTTGTGTTAAAATGCTGAAAGAGGGGAAGCAAGGTAGGAAGCAAAATGTAGCTGCCCTTTTCTAGCACTCTGTCGAGGTCTACATTCACCACTGATTCCAGTAAGAGACAGGACCTAGTGCAGACATTTTTTTCTAGTTGTAGGCAAATACAACTTTAGAAGCATGCTTACTCCTCTTACTTAGGTCTAGATAAAGATTCACTCATGCATTATCCAAGTGTATTTTTCAATAGAATTCCTTTCTGAAGGAGGGAAGACATTTTATAAACTCATTTTGGTTCATCTTCCAAGTAACACATGGCAGACTCAGTAGCTTCCCAATATCATACGGTAAACCTGCCAACATCCAAAAGTGAAATTTCAATGTTCCTATTCTCTTACATCTAATGCACTTAATGGTAAAGAATAGCAGGAAGCACTGCAGAGCTGATAGTTAGAGCTATTTAGCTGATAGTGAAAGCGAGAAACTGATGACTACTCAAGGCAATATTAGCACACAAAGATGCAAAGACAGACAGACATATTCGGCTAATCCCAGTTATTTCAGCAGTATTTTGTCAAGCTCAAAGTGCAGACAAAAAGAGTAGAATTGATCTTTACTAACTTGTCCGGGTGTCACCACAGGAGCCAAATGTGCCTGGAAAGTACTCCTTCGATCTGTGATTGGGCTTCCATGATGTATGGATGGCAGTTCTTCATCTACTGATCACAAACAAGGAAGTGTTTGTTTTCTTTTAAGGGTACTGAAACAATGTATATGGCTACTTAAGTAAAGAATGTCTCAACTTTAAAAAAGGGATTTGTTAAAGTACACAAGATGACATACAGAACTACCAAAAATATGTTGGGGTTTTTTACAATTGTTATTAATCTTTATTATAATTTTAATGTTACTAATTTTACTCAAAAGCTGAGTAGAAAACAAGAGTCTTAAGGTCTCTCTCTTCTAAATTATTTCATCAGAATTAACAAGGGCATATTTTTTTTACCTTCTTGACTTTCAGATGTAATGTAATTTAACATTTTAATTGGATCTTCCTGAATGGGCTGATAGTCTAGGAGAAAATCATCTCTGTCATCTTCATCAACTTCTTCACTGGTTTTCTTAATATCTGGTTCTATTAAGATACAAGTAGTAGAATTTATTATAGATTTTTTGGGGAGACAACTAAGACAAAATTTCAAATTCTTTTTCTCAAAAATCTCTGGCTTTTCAGTTCACCATTAAGAATTATGAAATGCAGAATAGTAACATTAAGAATTTCTGGGTTTTGTTGTAATTAGTCCACTATCAACTAAAATCTTGCTTAGACTTAGGAACACAATACTTATGCTATGGGATCCTCGCATAGTATCTTCTGTTTCAATACTAATTAACAGTATTTCTAAGAAGAAAAGAACAATGTTTACCATTTCCATTACACATTTACAATGCTACCGTTAATTTAATCTGAATTTAGAGCCCAAAATAATCTGATGTTTTACAAGAACTCGGGTCATTTATTGGTCATTTGGGGAAAAACATAGAGCTGTTGTTCAATGCTACTTCATGAGGTTATAAAATCATTATATTTAAAACACCTCTCTGGACATGTTTCAAGCACTCTGGGATTCCAAAAATCCTATTTTCCTTCACACATAGGACACACAAAGAAATAATAGTCACTAGCAAAAGAATAAATATCACACACAGTGCTCTGGCAACTGGATTTAGAGGGAATCTACCATAAAGGCAAGTTAATATATCACAATCTAATTTCCTATTTAGAGGGCTTACAATGTGGTGATGATACAGTTTTTATAACAGGTATTTTCAATTAAAAAAGAGGAGGGGTGATAGAGCATGTTCAAAAGGCCTAGAAAAATCATTAGATGTATTAAGTAGAAGCCACAAGGTTGCTGTCAAAATACCCAACAAACTTCCAATATCATCAGTAAAATTTCACTTCTCAGTATCCACTCCTTTAGTCATGTCAACGAAAAATGACTTTTTAAATATCTGTGATGTAGCAACAAAATGCACAGTTTATTGAAAAATTAAAACTAGACCTTATCATGAAGAAGCACTGAAAATATACATTTCTTTTTCCTCTTCAGTCTTTTGTTCCTCACAGGACTAAGCTAACATCCATGACATAGAAAAATAGTTCTATTTCCTTTTGGCACAAGTGCATGCATGCATGTCACTCATGCATTTCATAGCAGTTTAGCATTTTGATGCACATAAAAACCCACAAAAAAACCTCACCACTTTTTGAAAGAACAACTGTGAATTTACACAAACTCTGTCACTATAAAAGTAACAGCAGAAGAATCACTGCAACTCTAGTGATGATGTACTTCTCATCCCAATATAGTAAAATGCAATTAAGATGGAATACTTGGTCATTTGTCTGCATATTCTGCTGAAGTTTATCTTCTCTTGAGGCTAATTCCAATCCTTCAAGAGTGCACTCAACACCAGAAATTAATTACTGCTATGAATGACTCCTTCGCAGAACAGAGGACAATGCATAATGTACCTGTGTGCAGTGCTCTGCTTTCATGCAAGTAATTTAATTCCCGAGAGAACTGAGAACCTTGTTCTATTTCACAGAGGCCAGCTCCTTCCTTTTTTTCCCTACTGCTTTTTAAAAAGGGAAGCTATCACTGTAAAACAATAAGCCATGACACTGGAGACTGTTATTTTCTGTTTTTTAGATCCAATACAAAACTGGGCATAAAGCTTTAACTTGTAATGAAATCTCACTTTGCAGCTGAACAAGAAGTAAACTGAAAAACCCGTGTATTTTCTGAAGTACCTGGCTCTGATGACTGTGCCTTTTCTATCAGAACTTCTCGTATCTTCTCCACCCATAAATAAAGTATACTTTCACCAAGGTTCTGTCTGGAAGTTAAAACTCACAGTGAATGAAGAATCATTTTTGCCAATTTCCCTTGGAAAGTAGACCAAATAACAGATTTCAGACATGCAGAAATAGAACATTATAATCTAGCGAGATAAAGAGCTTAGACAGGCTTGTGGAAAGCTCTGTCTCGGTAGTTCACTGGGTGAAACATGTGATATCTGCATCATTATATACTCTCTTTGTGGTTTGCTTTTTCTTTTTTTTTTAACATTAAAAGCACTAATGCTGGAGGAAAACAGGCAACTGATGGAAACTTTCTGGCCACTAAAGAAAGGGAAAGCAACTGTGAGAAGAGTAAGTTGGACAGTCCTCAGTATTTTCCAAAGAATACTAAGCCAGGATGTCTAGCCTTAGAGAGCTTGCTCTGGATCAGTTTTGCCTACAAGACGTACCATATTGCCAGCAGCGAGCTCCTTCAGCCGCTCTGTGGCTGTAGGGGACTTTTGCCCTTCATGTTTGGGAGGGGGGCTCTTCCTTGGAACAATGCCACTTCTCTTCCCCCTCAAGCAGTCAGTGCACACACAGCAGAGGTTGATCTTGGCAGACTGTGATAGTAGGTCAATGGCAGTAGACACAGTGGAGCATTGGACTTATATGCTAGAGTTTGGGTAACAAGCAGTCCTATAGGACAGGGAGGTAAGGATTTAGGTCTAGGAGTCCTTAGTCAGGGGGCACAGGTGTATATTAAGGTACTGGGGGAGGATGGGATGAACGTGTTTTTTATGTGCATATTCAGAGTTAAGAAACGCTGCCTTAATGTGCACCAGGATCCAAACAACCCAAAATATATTTAAAATGGTGTCCTGAAAAGTTGCTTTTGTAATTATATTTGAATATGTTTATGAACTATGCATGTTTGTCTCAAAAACAAAACTAAACATTTACAGCTGTAGGTAACTCATGGTTTCTCATTAATTTTATTCTTACTGCCACCATCTGGGGCACCACGTAAGTACATTATCAGTGACAGAATTACATTTTTAAACTCTTACTTTTCTTAACGTATACAGCACTATTCCTGAATGCAATCAGAAATTCAAACAAATATACATATTTTAAGAAAAATATTCAAGGAACAATACAGAATTTATAACCTTGTAGCTCTGTCTTCAAAATCTGGACAGACTCCAGAACAATCCAACGCCTTGATTTCATGCTCCTTCTTATCATACAGAAGCACTACTCTAATACATGAAGAACTATTATGTGTTTTAATGATGGAATGAGAGATTAGACAATGAATAAGATCACTCTGTTGCGTGCAAGTAAATAACAATCTCTTCAGCTATAACCCAATTTCAGTTTCTGCCTATTCACAAATTACACTTAGTCTCAAAGGCTACCTTTATATGTTGCTATTTTTCTGGTCACTTGTGTCTAAGTCATGAAACAAAGCTTTATATTGAATAAGTCTTACTGGAAGAATATCTGGAGAAAAAGAAAAATCCACATATTTGCTACATTTTTAACTTCTAAGAACTTTGGGTCTCCCAAAACAGACTTGTGATCTCTAATTATCTGCTTTTTCCACCTCCTTGAGAAGACAGTGATGGACGGTATAGTTCATATTGTTTTAGATTGCAGAACTAAGCAATTTAGATCACTAGGGACTTGAAACCTGGTAAAACACGTTATAAACAATGCAGAGTACCTCTGTTTACCTGACAACTATTTAGACATTGGATAGATAAAAGGCTTTCACAAACACGATGCACATTAGTGACTACTCCAGAAGGTTTTTAAACAGTCTAAAATGATGTATATGGCCTAAAGTACAAATGTCTGCTGAACAAACAAAAATGAGAGCAGACCAGAAAGGGCTCTGAACAGCACCTGATATGGACAGAACAGAGCTGCAGGGGACTGATCTAACTAGCGCAATTTAACAGCCTACAAGACTGCATGGGGAAAGAAAAGAGAAAAAGGGGAAAAAAAAAAAAAATTGCTTCACAACTATGCTATTTCTCCTCACAGTCCTCACATGGCAATTTGCACCAGATGCTCAGGACATTTGAAGAACTACCTACAGCAGCTCTACTTCTGGTAGAGATTCCAGCAAATCCTATGCATCTGGACAGAGTTAAGGACAATCTCTGTCCTTTTGCTCCACTGAACAACTGTGGTTAATATGATCCCATAGAACTCCTTGCTTAAAATCCTTGTGCATTTTTAACACTTCAAATTCAATATTACTTGCTTAAATTATCTGTTGCTTAATTAGATAAGAAACCCAGTTAATCAAAGTAACTGAGTAATTAGATAAAAAACCCTCATGCAAGCTAAGCGCTCTCTTCCTTATTTTACAGCATTAAAAAACATTTCTTATGCAAGATGTTCAGATTTTAGTATTTTGGGCATGACTGTGCTTCCTTATGACATATTTTCATTTCATGTAGTTTATATTATCTTTGGGATCTGAAAGAATTAAATAAACCATATAAAATGACTACATTTACTACCGCAATTTCACAGCAATTCAAAAACATGTAATTTGAGTATTTCTAAATGTTCTGTTTATTCATTATGCGTTGTTAGCTGCACACTGTGATAATAAACGGTCTGCTATGTTACAGATTCTAGTTAATAGATTCTACCCATGTTTAATTTGTTTTAAAACCTACTTGTCCCTTAGCTATCCTTTAAGAAAAACTGTTTTGCCACTTACGCTCTAAGACACAAACAAATGTTTTCACATCCTGCGGTTTAACATTCAATTGCAGAACAGATGCAGAAATCTCATACTTCATAGTACCAATTCATAAGCAATCTCATAGATGCTAAAGGGAGTCAAAATGAAGACTTCTATCCTTATAGAACACCAGGTCTTCTATAGAAGAAATTTGTTAGAGTTTAATACAATTTGTTCTTGCAAAATGCTTAGTAAATATATGGCACCTTTAACTGTTAGATTTATAAAAGAAACTTGCACTTTTATGGCTATTGCAGTAATCACTTCACAAGTACTAGTTCATGCAGGTACTTCAAAAGCATACATTGAGCAGGGCATGAAACTGAAAATACATTGTCTCCTTTTACTATATTCCACAGCCTCTAACTTACACGTATATTTCTTCCAAGCTATTTGCTAGTTCCATATAATCTTGTCCTCGAAGCCAAGGGGCACTAGAATGAAAAGAAATACAATGGAAATTGTGCCCATACGGTGATTCCAACATCTCAACAAACATTAATTTGAAAATAAATGTGATAAACACCTTGAAAATAAAATATTGTCAATCATTCCCACTTAACAAGATTCCAGTTGTAAACATCTTGGTAAAAACATGATCACCCAATTCTCCTTCAAGACTCCTTACCTGGGCTGCCTTTTCTTACACCAGGTAAGAAAGCTGGATTCTTCTTCATGGTAGGTCATTGCCACTCCAGAGTCACCTTACATATTATTAGTTTACCTTTCCAACTCCTTCAGCACCATAGTACCTATTATACATAGAATAACCCTTCAGTTCTGTACCTGTATCTTCCTGGTCTCATGTTACAACTATAAACTTTGCCTCAAGTTAGCAGGACTATTTTGTATTGCCTTGTCAATACTGCTGACCAAAACTCAGCAGATATGTTGTGTGTCATGCCCTGCAGGTCCCTTTATCATCCAAATCAGGGACCTGGCTTACGCAGCTCTATTCCCATCTCATTTACATGTCAGGAGACAAGGGGAGAGCAGCGAAGGAAAACAGGAAGATGGCACATGCCATGGCTCCATCCCAACAAGAGTCAGTGCTCAGATGCAAAGCATGCCTTTCAATCTGAAACAAGGATCCAGACAAGAAGGGTACAGCCAAGGAAGCAATGAGACATCACTGTCCAACACAACAGACAAGCAGCTACCACAGCTCCACAGTCTTAACTGCTGCCTTGCCACAAAATAATGCTGCAAGAATTAGAGTCAAGGGAAGAGAGCAAACTGTCATAGGGAGCTCCATGAGGCTAACTCGGGAGAAAGAATAGAATATTCTTGCTGGAAACATACCCCCCAGTATATAGTTTATGTAGTTTAATTCAAGGAGTCATCTTAACTAAACTTCAACTTACACTGTAAACAATTAACAGCGGTAATTCAGAAAAGAAATACAAATGTTTGAAAGAAAATTTCACTTACTTTAGTTGATAAATAGGTGGCTCTGTAGTTGGATATCCTGGTGGCAAAATCACCTGAAAGAAATTCACAGTAAGTATTCACTGGACTACTCCTCTCAGCTAGCTGAGCTTTACTGATGGACTCTGATGTCAAGCACTAGGACTACAAGCAGTGTTACAAATAAAGAAAATAGTTGGCTATGTTGTCACAGAATTACAAGAAAACCTGAATATCTGTATTTAGGATTCCAATAATGGTAATGCATACAAACATTATATTACATGGTGCAATTTTTGTGGATGAAGTGTTATGCAAAATAAAGTGCAGAAGAAATTCAAAAGGAGCTGCATACATGGTTACTGGACTTAATTTAAGTGGCACTGCCCTTCTGTAAGTAGACACTTCAGTGTTTCTTCCACTAAGTAAACTTACTGTTTTGAGTTTTGTAAACTTAAAGCAGCATGTTACTCAGTTAAGTTGATCCAAAATTCATTTTGTCTCCACACTTTCCAGAAAGTAAATCTAAAAGCAATTGCAGCAGATTCACTGAGGTGTCCTACACAAAGACAATGTAAAAAATATTTTAAAAATCAGTCTTTGGATAACAACATGAAATTAGTTTTTGTCAGGTATGGAATTAGGACATGTAACTACTGAAAATGTCGCAAGCACATTGATGTGTTACAGGAACAATCACTGAAAAGTCTATTACAGATTCCAATCCAAAAGCTCCTTAATCCATCTGAGTAGAGAACAAATCCTATTTAAAAGGGTTTTGTGCAGGCACAAGATTTTGCCTGCATCAGTCCAACTGCAAGTTCTATGCCAAACTCCTTAACACCACTATACCTGCAGACAGAGGGTCCATTTTGGTTGATCCAGACAATCATTAATCTTAATGCAATAGATTTTTTCATCTTCATCAACAACACACCAATCTTCACCATATATGGATGAAAGGGCTTCAATTTCATCAATCTAGAAGAAGCATTATGCAAAAATAAATAACGCCCCCAAAAGCCCACAACCTGGAGTGCCAATCACAGTTTTAAGTCTTGCTCTTCTACAGCTGATTTACAACCATGACGAGACTCAGTACACTGGAAGGCCATAAATATTGGGGATCCAGTCCCGATTCACAGCCTAAGTAAGCTTTGCTCTGTTCTTCTGTAAACACACACCAGCTTTGGTATTTCTATGGATAATCCTGTAATTCTCAGCAGTGACAAGGTGAGTAAAGTGACATAGAGCAGCTACAACACATCCCCGCAGCTCCCAACCAGCGCCGGTCATCCCTCAGCAGGAGAAAAACCCCAAGGCCTTAGCACTAGTGCTTACTAAGACCGGATAAATTTATCCAGTAAATTCCCGTAAAAAACGGACAGCCACCTGCCACCTAGAAAGCAGACACCCGAAATGGCTCTTCACTGCAAACGTGCAGTCCCCCGTCGGTGCCTGAACAAAGGCAATCGCGC